GGAGTCGTCAACGTACGTCCTTAGGTGTGAAGTGCGAAATGGGTGTCTGTGCTAACTTGTGTCATCCTAACCCTTTCTGATTTGGGGCAGGGACAGATAGCCTTCCACCCGAAACATCGGGAGCCCGCGGCATGCTGGAGAGCTCTTCCCAGGAAGAAACGAGATGGAAGACGACGCTGATTCCGATACTCCGAAAGTGACCGTCCGAATCATGTGCCTCAAAAGAGACCTTACAAGTAGTTTTCACATTTCACTTGGGACATGAAGTGTTTTTTGGGGGGCTCCTGCTGAGCAGAAGTAGATTATAGAGGCAAAGGAGCTGATTATATTAACTTGCAAGATGATTCTCTTCCTTCCTGAACTGGAATAAAAAAAGAAAAAAAATCAGTCTTTTTTCATTATGAGAGTAGATACTTTTTGGGTTTTTTTTGTGTGTGCGCAAATCCTGGTTTTAGTTAAAAAAACCTAGCAAAAGCCAAGAAAGCGACTCCTGCTCTATTGAGAAAAGCTAAAATAAATCCTCTCTCTCATACGTAGAGCTGTTCTCTAGGTGGATTTAATGCACCCATGTTGTACATTTGCTAATGGCATAACTTCATTAAATGTATAGTGTTTCAGTACACGAGGCTACGTGTTTAACAGTCCACTGTGCTGTATCTGATAAAACCAGTTAATTTTTAGGAAGCTGATTTGAATTTAAAAGTAGTTATAGTATCCCAGTGACATACCACTGAAAATTAGAGCAAGCCAAACCCTGCTTTTCCTGATTCTGGAGCTTGTGTTTATTGGCTGGGAAATGCAGTTTTGAGTAGCATGCTGGCAAGTCGTTTATGACTATGGCAGATAAATGTCTCCCGGGGACTTTGGCAGCAGGGATTTTAAAATGTTTAATAAGTAGCAACAGCTTGTGCGTGGTGGGACAAGAAGGGGAATATTGGAATCAACCGTCTCACTGTTTCTTACACGAGCTCAAATTAAACGGAAAGCGCGGCCGACTGTTAGCAGTGAAGAAGGGGGAGGTTGAATGGAAATGCCCACTACAGAGGGGACCAAGTGCTTTAATAAGAAACTGCTGACAAAGTTGCTCGGCATGCTAATGCAATTTGTATTCACATAACCTCTGTGCTCTGGCATTTGCAAGAGTCCTTGAAATTCAAGGGAACAAGGAGATGAGCTTAGCATCCTCTTCCCTGCCTGAAACAGCCCTGTGGCAGTGAGGGCCATTCCTGCAGGCAGAGGTGTTACCCCACCTCTCGCTGGAGCTCTGGCTGGAGACGGCCAACCTTGGTCCCAAACAGACATCTCCATCACACTGACACCTGCACATATCCTGGCTCTAAGAGCTCTCAGCTAGTCTCTCTGGGAACATCTCCGTCCTGACTTTTTTTTTTATTCCATCCACTTTGGTTTTTTGCTTCCTGGTTCTGCAGAGAGAGAACCTGAGACCTGCAAATCCATACCAAGGCTGTTTCCTTACTCGGAGCCCTACAATGCACCCGTGTCCCCAGAGCCAGCTTGTCTGCACTCGCCCCACCACCACTGACATCCTCCAGCACAGATACTCCTCTGCAGGCTCCAGCCCCCAAGAAAAAGCGGGGGTGTATTTTGGGCACGCAGTGCACAAGCAGTGAAACATTGGCAGCCCCGGTGCTGTCGCGGTTTCCCCGTAGATGCCAGCTGCCAGCTCCGTCTGCTTTGCCTGTCCCCAGGCACCTGCCAGCAGGAAGGTGATGGGATGGAAATTCCCCCAACAGACTATTCCTCCTCCAGTTCCCAATCCCTAATGCCTTCACATGCGTGGCCAGAGTTTTGGCAGCTGCAGAGCCCTAGGGCTGACCACGCTGGGGCCACCCACCGGTATGGTCCTGATTTTCTAGTGGTCCCTCCTGCTTGCAGCAAGGGTGGGGACGCTGGCGCTGTGTCCCGGTGCTCTGAACCAGCCCTTGCAGCACGCAACCTTTATGACTTTGGCAGGAATGAATCGCAGGCAGCTGGGCTAGAAAGGGTATCCAGCTCCGGCAGAGCTGAGAGGAGACACATTGGCCAGGCCAACTCTAGGCTTTGGCAAGGGAGAAGTTCCTTCAGGCAGCTGCCTGCCAGGGATGGTTAAAAGGCCGTGGCGTTACCGCCTGCATTGCTGGTATCAAACTCTTGGCAAGCCTCCGTTGCCCTGAGGATGGGCTGGTGGGGACTAGGGGCAGCATTAGCCAAACCAGCAGTTGCCACCTACTTGAAAGAGGCAGTGCCCTCTCCCCAGGGCTACCCAGCTCCCTGCTTCCCCTTCCCAGAGTCACACCAGGGACAAATCCCTCCCAGAACCTCAACCTTGTGATGGCTTTGAGTGTCTGAAACAGCACGCATGGAGTAAAAACGTCCTGCAGGAAGCTGGGTCAAGAGGCATAAACCCCCAGCCGAGACCTGCCGTGAAGGAGAGAGCCCGGTGTGCGTCCCATTTACACTGCTCCCCTCCAAGCCGCTCCGAAGAGAAGCGATGCTTCTATATCCATCCCCGTCCATGTGTTACAATGCTAAGAGGAGTAGTGGAAGAGTAAATGGGCCACCTTTCCATGCAGCCAAGGAAAGGGATTCGAGTGGGAAATATTCCTGCGGGAACCCTGCCAGCCTGAGATGGCACCTCTACAGCCTTACGCAGACTCTTCAGGTTATTACATGAGCTAATGGCTTTGAGGAGTTCACCTGTTTTTCAAGAGTCTTACGGTCCCGCCGCACACGTACGGCATGCCTAGACCTGGGAGCCATCCCGCTCTGCGCCATGGTGAAGGCAGCTTGGGTTGCATTTCTCAGCATCCTCCGGCAGTGGTGGGATGCACTGCACCCATCTGCCCGCTGGGTCCATGGGGCTCTTCTCCTGGGGCTGCACTCGGTGCAGGAACTATGGACGTTATGTCAAAAAAAGGAAAAAAAAATATATATGTAGAAGTATATATATGTATGTGTTGCTCCTCTCTTTATCAAAACCAAAAAAAAATTTAAAGGGATGGCTGTGTAGTGTTGGGGACAAACCTGTCCAAAGACAGCTACTACGTTCCTGCATCCTCAGCCTCTGTGAAAACTTTCCGCTTTACCTAGATGGCAAAACAAGAAACATTTTTCAGTCCTGAAGCTCTAAATTTCCCCCTTCGTTAGTGAAAAATGATTTTTCTACAGAATCTCAAGTACATTCCCTTGGAAGTTGCAGGAATGGGCTGTGAACACAAAGAGCTCTGCCCATGGCTGCCTGACCCTTCTTGCTTTGCCCATGGGCAGCGCGGTAGCAGATCCTCGCTTCTCTAACACTGGGAGGTCCTGGGTGCAAACCCCATGGCACTAACCTTGATACCCCATTGCTCTAGATGCTCTTTCAAAGGCCGGTTTCGTGCCAGACCATCACCAAGAGAAAATGTCACTGTGGGCTCATGTGCTTTTGTGGTTTGGCTTGGAGAAGTCACTATTTTCTTGACTCATAAAAAGAGGACTCACTCCTCCACCAAAAAGGGTTTCCCTTCAAAATGCGAAGGTGTAGCTTAAATTACTTTGAATTCCTGGGCTTGTGTCCAGTCCAAAGGGTGGTGGGAAAGATCATGGCCAAGGCTTACAGTGAGGAGAAAGTCCAGCAGCCTGGAGCAGGGGCTGCAGCTCCCGGTGTGAGTGGTGGGTAAGGACCAACAGCTCAAGCCCTCAGTAATTGGTGTTGGTGCTAAAACGTGCTCCATATGAAGGAACAACAGTGATGGGACCAAATAACTGTGTCATCCAGACGTGAGCCAGTGCCATGAGGGCTCTGCAGCTGAGGAACGTCCTGTGTGCTCAGCCCGAGGGGAGAGGAGCAAGAATAATTTGGCATCGCGAGAAAGGCCACAATGTTTGTTTCCTCTGAGCTCTTTATTTTATTTTATTTTATTTTCCCTTTCAACCGAAGATTGGAGCTTGGAAAAATCATTAAGCAGCGGTGACCGGAGGGAATCAAGCAGCTCATCATATCTTTGTCATCAGAGCTATTGATCAGAGCCACGATGAAAATGGGCCAGCAACTCTAAACAACACCAGGCGAGAGCCGATGAGACGAAGGTCGTTAAGAGCCCCGATGCTTGATTCAGGTTTAAAAGACACAGATGATTGGGAGCAGTCCCTGAGACACCATTTGGCCGTAACTTAGAAACAGTGAGGGATTTCTGTAATATATCTGTAGTCGCTTTACTGAGCGTAGGCATCGGCGTGAGATTCTGCTCAGTCTATTACACAGACAGCACAACCAGAATAAATCAAAATTGTTTTTTAAAAAAAAAATAAATTAATAAAGTACTTTTTCAGCTGTGACTTGTGTCACCGTGATAGATGGCAGTGCCATCCATTATGCAAAGACAAGGCTCTTAACATGAAATTTTAGAATTCAATTTTACTATTTACAGAGAGGGCCCCCCTCGTATTTACGGCACAGCAGCCTGGTTTGATTCAATCGCCGCCTAATTGAAACCGGGCCAGGAATCTCGGTTGGTCCTGTGGCCACTTTTTAAACAGGGAGGAGAAATAAGCACCTATCACATTAATAATGGAGCTAAAAAGATGGCTTTGCTCATTAAATCTTATTCACTTTATCTCCTCGTTCTGGTGGCACTGCCAAAACTGGGAAACGTGGATGCCGTGCCTTTGTGCCAGGGCTGGGGTTTGGTGGGATAAAATCTGTCTCCCCTTCAGCCAGCAGCATCCTTGATCCCGCGGTGAGCGTGGCCTGGGGCATTTTTGCTCCTGTTGTTAGAGGCCTCCACAGGGCAGCAGGTTTTTCAGCATCTCTTACGATAATCACTGTTTTTATTATGATAACTAAATAGTTAGATATTTGAATCCCCCCATTACACTGAAGAATTTTCATGAGTTCTTAAAAAAAAAACTACCACAGCTTTTTTGTGGGTTTTTTTTTTTTCATCTCTAGGTTATATTTAAATAAAATTACATGGGACTGTAA